TAGGACGTGCGGACGACGTCCGGGTCCGTCGACAGCGACAGCGCGCCGAACGCCGTGACGAACATGGCGAGCAGCGTCGACCACATGGCGACGCCCATGTAGACCTTGCGCCGCCGGTCGAAGTAGGGGAAGCCGATGTTGCCGAAGACGAGGCACACGAAGTTGTCGTTCGTGACGGGGTTGTCCGGGTTGAAGGGGCACCACTTGCGCTCGAGGCAGACGTCGGGGATGCCGTTGTCCGTCTCGTCCCAGCACGGCGCCACGCACCCGCGCGCGTTGTCCGCCTCCACCTGCGCCGCGCTCCGCTGCGCCTCGACGTCGAAGCCCAGGGCCTTTGGGACGGCGTAGAGCGGGCAGCCCGCGGCGCGCAGGAGGTTCTCGACCGGGCCGCCCATGCGCGACGCGGCGGCGCGGCGACGTGCGCCGACGGGCGGCGCGGCGCGCGGCGCGAGTCGTCCGTCGACCGGCGCCTTCTAACGAGCGTCCAAACGCTGCCCCAGCGCGCGGGCGGTCACTTCAACATCATGGGACCAATTCAACGACAAGTCCTTGAGGCCAGCAGCGCTCCATTTTGCCACTCGCGTCAAGGGGATATAAATCTAGATGGGGTGGCAGGCGAAACGCGAGGTCCTCGTACTACTCGGGGCCGCCGCTAGCGTTTTCTTTCTTCTTCCACGCCGCAGCGCGCGGGCTGAGTGCAACGATGGCGGGTCGCGCGGCGCGGCGCGGCTGCGGAACCCTTCGACGGGGCGGGGCAGCGAATTTGGGCTGCTGAGATCATTGCGTTGGCTCGCGAGCGCGACGGTTGTTCGGCGGCGGGACGAGAGGGCGGCGGTGTGAGTCGAGTGTGCGATATTTTCTTGTCCTTAGAGGTTGGAGGCGCCCTATGGGTACCCGCGGGGGGCTCGAAACCTTCAGGACACACTTTTCCCACGATCTCAGAGCCTGCGCAGCCCCGGCGCCGACGGTGTCGCAACACAGTTTCTCGGGCAGCGTGCGGGCAT